CCAGAGTTGATCAGGGTGAAGATAAGGATGGGGGGAGCCATGTAGCGGATACCCGCCCACATGCACATCATCGCGCCGGCATGGTGGTAGGTCTGTAAAGTCGAGCTCTTCTTGCCCTTCGCCAGGATGATAGCAGTGTCCAACACCTCATAGAACTTGGATAGATAGAAGATCCAGCCCAGGTAGGCCAATCCTTGGTTCCACATACGGCCGATGTCCGTCGGGTCCGGGACACCACCCGCAGCCAACTTGTATTCGGAGTTCGGCAGTTTCCACTGATCGGTGACGGAGTCGTAGATGGCAGCATTGCCGTAGCCACGGGGGCCATTGATCTTGCAAAGAGAATCAAGCACGCCTACGACGCCGTGCGGGTCCTCGCGGTGAGGCCACGAGTTGCGGAAAGCCTGGAACATGCCGACGCATGTCCATGCGGAATAGATGGCCAGGAAGACATTGTGAAGGATGACGAAAAGCTTGAAGAGCCGCGTGTGGCTGAAGCCCCAGGGCTTGTACCCACGACTCTTGTTGATGCGGTTGATGATGATAACGGTGACTGCGTAGACGCTGGCAATGGTAATCGGCACGCGAACGTCAAGGAGCTGTTTGTACAACTCAGTAGGGATGTTGAACGGCTGGTTCCATGTCGGCTCAGAGATCAGAGGAGCAGGAAGAGGCTCAGGGAGCTCGCGAGGAGGGAATCTGAAAAGCGAGGCGGGCGGGAAACCTAGGCGCACGACAGCAGGGCCCGCCTCGGTGTCGACGTTGACGTCGATCATGATCTATACCTCCTGAGGGCGATTTCACAGGTGAAGCAAAAATTGACGAGAGGTGACTGGACTTTCGAGATAACAAGGTTGTGGCCCTTTTTTATTGAGAGGAAGATAGGACCAAGCAAATAAGGAAAGGGTGGGAAAGAGCCAGACCAAAAATATGAAAAAAAAGTTCAACGTCGCAAAAGTACCTCCGAAAGCAGAAAAGGGTAATGAAGTAATTCCACCTTCTCCCCAAGGCTCGATCAAATCGCGCAGAGGTAGGTGCGGACAGATAAATCCTTAGAGACGTGAACTATCAACTAAAAGCAAGTATCAATTGAGTCTCTACAAACCAAGAGAGTCTAATCGGGTCAATGGGTGAAAATTATCGAAGTGTCATTACTATCTCCAAAAGTGGAGCCGTGATGCATTTGTTGGGAATTTGGCTGCTCTGGTCGATGAAACCTCGGCCCAACACAATTGAAGGCAACAATCGAACTTACTTCTCTAGTAAGCTTGTGAAGAAAGATGTTCTTCTAGATACATCATGAACAATGGGTCTTACAGATAGTTATATAGAAGCGCATTGGTCAAACCTGGATGATGATGCTATAGCTTAATTGCTCAGACCCGGGCAGAGAGTAAGTCTGGTAGGTAGAGGTAGATGCCGATGGAAGTTTTCTTGCCACTGCCGTCATTCTCACGCGATGTCCTGAACAATGATGCAAGGCATGAAGACTCGGTGATCTGGGAATGATTCTACACCTTCCATGCTTGAAACAATAAAGTACATCTACCTAAATGAAAAAGCTACACAAGTACAACCCTCGTACCTCCAACCCTATTGACCTCATAGACTGTAGTAGGACTGCAACCATTTTTAATGATCCGCGTCGCAAAAATGATGCGCAATGCCATACCAAGTAACCAATCAGAAATTTAGTTTGGCTTTTTGGCGGCCGGTATTAGTCAGCGACCAAATCGTAAATACCCCGGATTGGGCAGGCACGTGATCTAAGGCCTTAGGCCTTAACCCTGAGGCCACTAGGGCCTAGGCATCAAGGCAACATTAAGGTGTCATGGCGCCTGAGACATCTTCACATGAAGCATCAATTTAAGGATTCACCCCAACAAAGGGGAAATGACCCGTAGTTATAAACTCTTAGAGATATAGAATGAACCGAGGCATGGGGGTTCATTGATTCAACGCTTCTACCCCTGAGCAAAACTAGACTCGCTACAGGACTGAACTAATGCAACCAACACCAAGGTGCAGATAGGGAACGCCTATCAAACGCCATGCCGCTTGACCGGTTAAAAAGGCTCGAAGGTCTCCAGCTCACCATTGATGCGTTTAAGTACCACTGTTTCTAAGATGGTGGAACGCATAGCACAGATCTGATTCTGATGGTGTTCCATTTACTATCTAGTGTTCAAAATTGCCTCTCCCTTAACTACAGTATGGCAAAGCAGACCTTCTATTCTCAAGACGGGTAACAAGCCACATCCGCCACAGCGGTCTTAGTCGATGGCCTTTATCCGTAGATTAGCCAGTTAGCCGGAAGACAGCCCTAGGCTATCCTGCTCACTTCAATCGGCTGAGTAGCACTGGGGCAGTTTTTCCCTTTCTTTGCAAGCCCTACCACCGCGCATTGCAAGTCTATCCCAAACTTAACGTTGGAGCAGCTTGGTGGGTGCATGTCCAAAATACAAATGTACTTGATCTATTGTACAGTTAAGCGAACGTGATGGACCAGTCCAACATGGATGGATGCAGTAAATACAATGGAATTGACACCAGTTGACCTAACATCCGCTCAGACGGGTTTGGTACTCAGCGGGAGCGGCGGAGGCGCAGGTGATGATGGCGAAGGGGCATTGACAGGTGTTGATCGCATCGCTGCTTTCTTGGGAGGTGGTGGAGGTGGTGGCGCCTTTCGCCGGTTCAATGCGTCTATGTCTACTGAGTCGGATGAAGGCTGGCTTCGGTTAGGGTGCGGGGGTGTAGGAGGCGGCCGGAATTGCTTGGATGAGATGGATGTGTTTGCCGACCTTTTCTCATCGACAAAGTTATTGAAGCGCTGTGTGATCTTATATTTGTCATTCAAGTCCTGGACTCGTTCTTTGCCCGCTTGAAGCTTATCATTATGCCGCTCGCGCAAGTTGTTCACTGTAGATGTTGCCGATGACTCGGGCTGTGTTGTGCTTCCCCGAACCGGCGGGGAGGGGCCTTGCGACGGAGATTGAGATGAGCTCGTCCTCATTTGCGAGAAGCGAGCTTGAAGCTCATCAACCGAGGCTTGACCGGCTACTCCACCGGTTGTGTTGCTGGGGCTGCTTCTATCATGCCCAATGCCAAGTGCAGGAACTGACACACCAGCATTGGACAGACGGGAGACAGCACCTCGATTTAAGAGTCCCTCAGAAGCCGGTTCTGATGGGGAATATGCCGGAGGAGGACTTGCTGGGTGCGACTGTGGAGTAGAGTTCATGCGAGGAGGAACCCGAGGCGGTACGCTCGGGACTGGCCTAGAACTTGCAGAGGACACGGAACTTGCTGGGGAATGCATTCTTCGGGCTGGAGGTGGTGGGAGATTATCCGTGTTTAAACCTGTTGTATTCGCTCGGTAGGGTAGCGGTGGACCAGCTGGTCTTTGGGTTTCGGCTTCCTCAGCTGGATTCTGCTCCTGCTGCCTGGCCTGCGCGTGCTGGATCTGTTCCTGAGACAGAGGTGCCCCTAGTCCCCTGCGATCCGGCGTCGTCTGATTCGGGACCGCACCAGGTCCATGGGCCGCAACGTGTTTCGGTGGTGGCCCGAAAGCGGATGGGTCCTTGAGTGACGACAGGGGGCGGGAGACGTGCTGCTCCTGCTCGCTGTCCCTATCCTTTCCCTTTCCCATCCATCCTGCCTATCCCGCAAAGTAGCGTCAGTAAATGCCAAATACTGGATTTGCACAAAAGAATGGGAAAGTACGAACCACTTGATTGATGCCTTTGAAGTCTCCCCGCCAGCTTTCTTTTCCTCCAGACTTGCCCTTAGGGTGCCAGCCCTCTTTCAGAGTCTCTCTGAAGCCACTCATCGTGAGTTCAAACGTATCCCAATATATAAAGATAATGGAATGAATGAGCACAACTGTGTTATGTTGCCGATCCAGCTAAGATCGGTGACGCAGCATCTGGCGTCGTCCCCGCCCCGCATTTCTCAGTTATCTCCAATCTCCGCTGCGCACGTGACTCTTCTCTAGTTTTGCTCCATGGATCTTCTCGTTTCCTTCGTGATCATGTTCAGTTATACGAGGCAACATTGCATCTCATTGGCAAGGCCAAATGGAAAACAATGTTGGTGTTTGAGTTGACATTAGAGTTCAAACCCTTGCGTGTCTCTGTCCTACAGTTGAAGCATTTGGCCCCCAACGGCACGCCTTTCTCGTCTTAAACTGCCTAAGCTAACCCGCCGATCAAAATAGTAGACGACTCAGGTCGCTACGTCTTCGTGCTTGCTGATCTAGCCCATATAATGCGACTGCGGAGTGTCTGTCTTCATTTTGAACAAGAGTACTGCCTGCTCAACTGACCGAGGCGCCTATACAACCGCCCCCGCACATCATGGAGCCTTATCAATAGACACTGATGCTGGCATCATGCCACGCGTCAGGGTTAACGGGTATCAAGGCTTCTGGAGCAGTCAATCAGCAATGAGTTTAGTCCCGTCGTGTTACGAATACATGGTGTGCAGCGGCTCGTGTTCAGAGGCAGGCGGCTGCCTCACTGTCCGCTGATTGGCCGCTGATCGCTGCCCTTTCATTGTCCGGGTCTATACTTGGTACCCGCTTGAAGCTGCTGCGCCATGTCAGCGCTCCCTTTGGCGACACTTTTTTTTTTTTTTTGTTCTTTGTGCTGTCGGTCTCGTAAAGAATGATCTACTTCTCCTTGCTCTGCCCCTCTTCGTCAGCTTGTCGTTCCAAGTTGTCACCTGGAGGCAAGGATACGGGAGAGATTCCAAGTGCATGCTTATTCAACTTCTTACACCCTGTCGAGCTTCTAGCAATAAGCAACTTTGGCGGTTGAGCATATTTTTGAATGTGAGGACGTCCTGCTTCTCGTCTGCATTTTGGTATAAGTCTGGCGAGTCTGGGGGAGAATTGCATCGTCTCAATAACTGGTTATGCGACGCTGAATCATCCGAGGGAGTGCTTGTCTTGAATTCTATCCCGAAATCGTGAGACGACCGCGGGTTGGTATAACAGAATGAATGATCGTGGAAGGCCGAATTCATTGGACAGCGCCAATGGGCACAATATACAGCCGCAATCTGCTGGAGAGGAGCAGACATCGCCACGGTCCGGCGAGTCATTCCCTACATCTTCGCAGACATCTCTGTTCGGGTCGGAGTTGACGAATACCACCGTGCAAACAACCGACGCGATGTATGAACCGACATCGGTCACATCGTCAAACACAAACGTTCTCGTGACGGCGACCACAGTAATCTCTTCCATCTCATCATCAACGGAGATTCCTTCCCAAACGGGAGATAGCAGCTCGGGAAGCAGCAATACGAAGACAATCGCTATAGCTGTTCCAGTATCTGTAGTTGGCGCTGCTTTGCTCCTCGGAGCGTTATTCCTTCTTTTGAGACGCCGCGGTCGGAAAACTCGACAAGAGAATCTATCGAACCCCGACGTTGATATGGCTCAGGCAACTCGAACAAACCTGCTGCCACACAATGGTATTCCATGGAACGTCGGACACGCAAGATCCCATGAAATCCACTTCGATGGCCCCTATCCTTCTCAGGCCGCCTCAAATGATCACATTCCAGAAGCCCAGCCATACAATCAAATAAATGCGGCGCCAAGATCCCAACCAGCTACATTGTCCGTCCCTACTCCTCCAGCTGCAGTCGCAGAGCATAGACAACTAGAAGGTGGATTTGGGTTGTCCGAAACCAGCCCCGTCACTGCTGGATTACGAGCCGGAAGCGAAGATCGTCCCCGCTCGCCGTTTGACCATCCATTGGACGATGCCATGTCCGAGGTGTCGGGTCTGAGTGACAGGCGGGGAGTCACGCATAGTCGTGATCTAGATGATATTTCATCCGTATCCTCCATCGGTGACCACGAACCCGCGACGCGCAGATAATGCTGCAAAATGTAATGGGTTATGCCGGAGTTCTTTGACGATTTTAATAATGCGCGAGTTTTTGACCGTCTGCGACGATCTTTTAAGTTTGGCTGGGCGTTGCCCTAATTCTTTGTTGAATGATGCTATCTGGCGATACTTGGCGGTACCTACAAATTGAGTGAAAGAACGAGGTTTGAAATGAGAAATTATCATATCTTTTTTATGCCTTCATGTGGTATCTACAATTTTGTCTAGCTCTCTTTAAGGATCCTATATACACATTCGGACAGGGCGACTATCTTCCACCTCCAAAATCCGGCTTGTAAGCCACCACCTTTCCCTTCATTAGCTCTCTCAGCGCCATTGTGGCATACTGGCTCGACCCGAGCTGGAACTTGAGGATCACGGCAATCTTGTCAGCGGAATCAGCATTAGACTCAGTAGCCGCTTCCTTGCCGTTGAGCTTGTCCAGATCCGTCTGCACGAACTGCTCGTCGTCCTGAGAATAGAGTTTCACATCCACTGAGTAGTCCGCACCCATCCGGCTAAGGACCTTGCGGTAGCCGCCGCTGAGACTGATATCCTTCCACTTGCGGCGCATGTCGAAGGGATCGAGACCACCGCCTTGCTCGCTGCCCATGAAGCGCTTATAGAAATTGGTCATCTCGTTGGCCGGGTAGACCACGTCGAATCCAGGGAGCGGCAGGACGACGTCGAAAATGGAGTACTTGCCGCTGGCGGCTTCCTCGGCGGTTAGGGCACGCGCGCGCTCGAACATGTCGTCGGCTGAGTAGGCGCTGTCGTGTGCCGCGGGCTTGACGACAACCTCGCCGTCGGCGTCGATCTCGGCTTCAGGGCCGGTTGCTTCGACCTTTTCGCGATGCTCGTGGATAAGGACGAGGTCGCCTTCTACCACTTTGTCGCCGTAAAGCCGCCAGCGCTCGCCGACAGCGAAGTTCCAGACAAGTGACTGATAAGCGTGCACGTACATCAGACGTAGGTTTCGAGGAATGGTTTGCAATGCTCCGAGATAATCGTTCTGGGAGCGGCCCAGATGGCGGATCAGGTTGTTTTCCGCTGAGAATTTCCGGGGTAGTTTCTCCACGGCCTCGGTGACTTTGCCCGTAGTCTGGAAGATGTGGATTGCTTCCGCGCGAGCCTTATCGTCTGAGCTAATCATGGAAGTCGAGTCGCCTTCCTGGGCTGCGGCAAGGATATGAGGACTGTAATGCAGGATTGCATCACAGGCGCCCTTGAAGTCACCCTGGAGCATCTTCACACCGACCATATCCGTGCGAGTCGCAAAGGTTCCGAAGCGTTGCAGCCCGTAGTAATTGAAGTAGCCGCGTTCACGGAGGCTTCGCAATGCAGATCCTACAAACTCCTTGGCCTTCGCGACAGCACCTGCGCGATCTTCAAGGTCCACGCCAGGAATAGCGCATTCGCGCAGAGTGATGACGAATTCATTACCCTTCAGATCACCAAGCTCAAGGCCATGGCGGCAATACTCGTAGTCTCCCACAGCCGAGTTGCGAAGAGCAGGGTTGAGCTTTGCGAGCCGATCGGCAAAGACCCGGCTTACACATGCTCTTTGCACGGTCACACCACGTCGGTCCTTGGTACCGGCAAACTGGAAGCTTCGCGGAGCCATTTTCATTGAACGCGCCAGGAAAGATATAACTTCCATGGTATCCTTGTTCTCCTTGTATATCGTAAAATGTAGATAGGAGCCACCCAGCTCCTCGAAGTTGAGTCTGCCTCGTTCGCGCCCTGAGCCACGTCCACCTTGGGGGTTGCGCTTGTTCCGGTTGGGAGCAGCCGATATATTCATCATGCCTTCGCTGTCCGTCTGCGATTCGAGTTGCGAGTTGAAAATGCGACGGATCGCCTGGTGAATCTTGATTCGTAAGTCGCGATCTGTGACGACGACGGTGTTCACTCGACCCAACTCGTTCGGTCTCGCTCTGGGGTTAGACAGGGCACGGGTATGTAGAGCCAAAATTCGTTCAGTAGCCTCGGTGCCAAAGAATGACTCCAGCAATGCCTTGTCTTCCTCTGAGAGCTGGAACTCGGCAGCTGGGGCCTCCTCTTTAGCGGCTGGCGCATCTTTCTCTCCCGTGGCTGCTGACTCTGCAGTATTACCCGCTACAGGGGCTTCCGACTTGGTCTCAGCATCGTCGTTCTTAGTTCCTTCTGTAGGCGAAGTGGGAGGATTCAAATTCCGAAGATGCAAAACTTCACCGGACGGAAGGATCTCATTGACGAGGAAATCGGTGTATCTGAGACAAAAGAGGGTTAACTTAATTTGCAGTATCTCAGGTTTCAGATGTACCTCTTTTTCAGAATTCCGGAAAAGCCCACGTTGTCTGCACTGACAAATTCGGTGATTCCGACCTCAGCTTCCTTCAATGCTTGAGCATCGCCCTCGGAGACCTCCAGAGCTGGCACGGCGGAAGGAGGCAGCACGGCATCATCTGAGACGGGAGTATCCTCAGTCTTGAGTCGCTTGCGCGGCGACTCGACAATATCTGCGCCCTCCATTGTTGAGATACGGGTATCGCTGCACGAGAATACTGGATCCGCAGCTGCACTTTGTTGTCGGAGAACTGCTTCAATCTCCGCAATTGCCTTTACTGAAAGCGGCATAGGCCAGGGCTAGCCCTACAACCTATTTGGGACTTTCTGATAGCAACTGTTGACTGAATCTCGATGTATGCTTAATTTTTTTACAGAGTCTGCAGTGTCTACTCTAGCTCAAGCCATTATTTGTTATGTGCTAAGGACAGAATCATCCTTGTTGTAACAATCAAATCGTCCGCACAATGAGGATTGTTAGATCATCTATATAAAAGCTAGGCATCATGTAGCCTCCCCGAGTATAGACACATAGTAACTTCTCCACCAAACCTCCTAGAGGCTGTTCTGATTATTACTCAAGTAGTGAACTAAACACATTCAACTCAGCAGTTAGGGCAGGGATATAGCATAGGGAAGATATTATTTCAGGTGTCCAGGCCATGTCAAAAGAAACACAGTTGACAAAGACCAACAGGCTACAGAGAAGCCAAGGACAAAGGCCCTCCAAGGCTCAAAAAATCCCCCTTGTAGGATCTAGGTCTCACGATTTGAGCCAGATTTGGAACACCATAAGTCTTCAGTGACCTGGACGAGCAAAGGAAGGTATGTTTGATCACTGTTGKGGACGAAGCCACTGCAATCACAATAGGCTTTCATGATATCAAGACCCCTGGACCCCCTACGAAGACATTGAGATGTTGCTTTCCATTAGATGCCTTACGACAAAGGCTTCAAGTTATAGAGACACTCGGAACGTATTCTTTGTCGAGAATGAAACTCTTACTAGTGGACAAGGAAATTCAGATCAACAATTCCATGGAATCGATTCTTTGTCTCTCGTAACGGTATCATTGCTAAAGGTAATGAAGTGTGTCTTTCTGGCGTGATTCGCATGACAATGGTCCTTTTTCAGGGTGACAGAGGTGCCCGGAAGAATCTCTTTGTTGACGATGAGACTCGACGTCTAAGAAGCGATTCCAACGCAGAAACAACATGGAATTGAGACACCCTACATTCTACTCAAGGTCCAATGCCGATAACTTCAGCTATAAATTCGCTCTCCTTTCTCACCAGTCGAATGGTCATTCAACCATCGAACTCCTCTATACTCTCTATTTCCCTCCGTGTCTCAATTTCCAAGTTTGAACACAACTCAGTACGCAATCTCCCCGAACCGACCCTTCTCGAAGACGTTGAGTACTATATCCAAACCCTGTTCTACAGAATCTAACAGCATGGGTATCCCACAGTGGAGCGAGCAGGACGAGCGCCAGGCGCGCATGCAGGATGCCGGACTTTACATCGACTGGCCGAACCCATACAACCTCGAACCGGGCCTTTACATCATCGTCCACATGCAGTATACCACCCAGCCGGGCGAAGTGATGGATGTCATTGACGATGCATACAGCACCATCACAGCCCGTCTCGAATCGCGACAGTTCCGCAACCCGAGACACCCCATTCCAGGGCGTAAGAGCCTGTTCGTCCACTATGAGCTGATTAACCAGGATGACGGGACCACGAACCCCTTCCCAACGGACGTAGACCTCTTCGAAGAGGTTCGGAATCACCTCATGCTGATGTTTGATCAGTTTATGTTCGGGGGAACGTTTGATCTCCCGTACAAACTTGGTCCGGTGCGTGTGTTCTGGTGTGACATGGTCGAGCAGGAGCCTGAGCTTCCCACTGTCACTGTTGAAGTGTACGAGGAGACAGACTCTGACTCGCAGGAGGAAGGGCAACATCAAGATAAGCTGCCTTAAACTACTCAGCAATGATCTCTCTTGGCTTTGCGTCTTTAAGTGAATGTTGAATTGGTGGACTGGGCTGACTGAGACAGAATAGGCATCAGAGCGACATAGCGAACCACAACTTGGCGTATACTGTTTGGAGTCCGGATTGTTTGGGGTTATCGCTGTGGAAAGATATATCTTTTTGCTTTGGTTTGCAATTTGGGGGTTGCGTGCGTCGCTTGTCGAATTCATGCTTTCATCACAGTAATACAGATGGACATTTCAGTCTTGTTCACAGATCCCTATGGCAAGAAATGCAATTCATTGTAATGGGCTGCAATAGACAACAATCACTATCATTAAACACATTGACTGTGACGATGGTGAATCGTCATCCCCTCTTCCGTCTATGCGTATTCTATATCTACTCTATGCATGTTCGGATACATAAGATCGTTCATCTCTCATATCGTCATAAGGGTCATTGCTGAAATCGGGCGTCGCCGGTCGAGAAGCCCTCTATCAAGTTTCATGTCGTACGGTCGTTATGGACAAATGAAACAAATCGTCGCACTCGAGAGGCCGTCAATCAATGCAGATCACGTCGTCAGCAGGTCTTGTCGGTTTTTGACCATCAGCATGACTGCGCAGGGGCAAAGAATCTGTAGGCTGAGTGTTTCCCCCCTCCCACGCAGATTTGACGGCTTGCACCATATCCCAAACCGCTTTTCTAGCTTCATCCCGTGCTTTTCCCGCGTCGAGAAGGGATTCGTAAGGTGTATGTGTGTGCCTGATGTGTGCTTCCACAGCCAAGTTGGCTTTTTGTTCGTCTGTTTTCCTCGTTGTTCTTCCTACTCGTCCAGAGCGCTTCAGAAAAGCGTGATCAAGAATAGTCTCCAAGGACTCAGCAGGCATGAGTGGGAACTTGTTGCGCAGGATTTGCCGAGCTCGCGACAGGTCCTTTACGTCTCGTGTTTTGACAGCAAGAGCACGCGAATCGGCAGTCACGGCAGCAGATTTGAGAACAGTGGAGTACACATCTTTGGGTACGCGGAGTCCAATATTTCTTTTTCCAGTATTGTTCTGCAGTGCGTTAGATGATGGAAGTAGAAGGCGCGAGCAATCCTACATAGACGACATAGACTATCCGGCGGGACTCTTTGGTCTGAGTCCGACAGTGCCGCGTAATATAAACATCGCCCTTTGGCACRAAGACATAGTTCTCGCGCAAGGGCTCCCTATCTAGGCAATTCTGTTGGGACGGAGCGTCAGCTGAACTAGAGCTGCAAGCTAAGCTGGGATCCTGCCATCGGATCTGTAGCGCCACAGTGACGAAGAAAACCACAATCATACCTCTTCAAGGGGATCCGTCGAAGGAGGAAGTCTAACAAACTTTGAATATTTTAAGGACTGTTGACTACCCCGATTTTTGGGGGGGTTGGTATCAAGGTTGCTCGTCGTACCGAAAAGTCCGCCCTGGTTGCGGGCTTTCGAAGAGGTCTTCCTTCGGACTTCGGCTAAAATAGATTGAGGCGATCTAGGTGAAGCGAATCCATTCTTGACGCGAGACTTTCGACGCCGAGCATGTTTCTGCGGCCCTTTTCTGCGGCCTGATGGAAGCGACATTTCGGGTCCACTGACAATGTGGAAATTGAAGATGTTGAAAAGGGAATAGGCTTAAGTAGGTAGTTTTCAAAACGTTTGCAAAATCCGCACAGTATCTGACTCATGGCACGATTCGTTCATGCATTCGAAGCGAGCGGTGGCTTGTCAACAAAGAAAAGACAACGGAGGCATTGAGCCTATGCTTGGAATGAAGTACTCTGATGACTGATCTACCAGTCAGGGTACCTTGAGGATGCCCATGACCAATAATGAAAAGGTGATCGAAGCATCTATAACGAATGGGACTCTTTTGAAATCCTTGCTGCCCATCGGGGTCCCTGAATCAGGCATTTGCCGATCAGAAGATAAATTTGGCGGGGTGTGGCTGGAGATGTGGCAATGCTAAGACTGCCTTCCTTTTCTGGTAATTGCTATAGGAGGCCGCTCAACCATCTACCTCACTCATCATACCTACAACCAATAACATCACAACTTCTGCCTATAGGTACTCTGTGACCTGCGGTGGCCAGTAAGTCCGAATCTCACTCGATACTCAAGTCTACATTAGTCCAATGGTTTCGCCTTTCTCCAAAATTCCATCTTTGACATCTAGAAGGTGATTGCTTTGTACCTGTCGATGCGTGGAATGTCATCGGCCACTAATATTCAATTAGCTTGCCAGGCTTCATTACAATGAGAAAGTCAAATGTAGCTTGTGTTATGCCATTGCTCATCTATTTTTTAAGCTGCTCAAAGGTGCTCGAAGGACCGTTGGCATTGATTTTCATATGAATGTCTCGTTTGCCAGAGGTCCATTATCTAGCAAATAAGCTGACATGCTGGATCCTGACTCGATGATGAGTGGTGCCGCGACGATACAATACTTCTGCTTTGCAAGATCCCATTCTGCCGCCGCTGTTAACATCTGACGTGCTGTAGACCCCTAGCAACCATGGCACTGGAATCATCATATGTAGCGAATGGGGTTACAGTCTCAGCGATCCTCAAGAAAGAACCATTGGCCTCCTGAATAATCAGTCATCTACAATTATAAGCAATAGCGACGCTCGAGCAAGTTCAGAAACTGCCAGAATCAGATGGACGATGCAATAATCTCTTGTCATGGCTTTCGGACGCCGACCTATCTTGTGGGCATAGTGCCGGGGTTGAGAACGCGTCTTTCCCCAGCTAGGTCACGAGTCCAAGGTATAAAACTGATTTGGAGTTGCGATATTCGAGGACTCATGTGATTTTCTAAAGGCAAGGCCATTTGATACCTCAAGAGACATTGTCAATCGCAAGGTGAATCCGTCAGTACTTGGTATTGCCGAGATAAGTCTAGACTACTGCCTTGGGCTCCTCGGGCACGAGCTTGGTTGTTGATTCAGGTTGAAAACTGGGAAGCGGGAAGAACAAGTTAGCTGGCTTCGGGGGACGAGCTCGGAGATTTCTCCATTATTATGTCTACTCCGTACTTCATAAAGATCTCTTGACGATCTCTAGTTTTGCAAAGATCGAGGATTTACTCCGTACTAACTGTCACCCTTCTACATGCGCTACTTAACTGTTATTGTAGGATTACTTTATCTGGTCAGGAGGCCATGTCGTCATTGTATTCATTTCATCTTAACTGCCAACGCCAACGTCCCGTGTCCACTTTTCGGCGATGTGGGCGAGATCAAGCCTGGAGGCTGGAGCTGAAAAGAACAAGCTAGCCACGATAGCCTCGCCCGGCTGGCCATTGAAATGTCACTAATAAGCGGCCCAGCTCCTTAGCGAGTCTTACATTGGCGAGCAGCTAATCGCAACTGGGTAACGGAGTACAGGGCTCGATCTCGACTTTCCCCGAATTTGGTCCGATCTGCTAGCAGGATGGTAAGGGGGAAAGCCTGGGAGGGGCAACGCAGGCAGTATTCCTAAGTCATAGGCTCCTGGTTAGAACTCACGTATAATTGTCTAAATCAGTAATGATCGCGAATCTCTGACGGAGCTAGACCTTCATGCCGCGTGACGACGGTCCAATGGATTCAGCCGAAGGGGAACTTCCCCTGCAGGTAAAAAGGACAACTGGAGATCGTGATGGAGATGAAGGTGGGGCACAGCTGAGACCCACTCTTGTCAAAGGTTTCTTGTCTACGGAGTAAGTGTCTTGTTCCTTGTCCTTGGTTGCATTGACGACGTGGCATAAGAAGGATGGGAGATTCAGAAAATGTCCGCAACATCAACTGTTAAAATCCTCAGAGAGCCTGTCATCTTTTAGGGATGATTCTCCTCAGCTCATCAGATCCATGTACATCTGAGCGTTGGACAATCAAAGGATGACAGCGTTCTCCAATTGGCGGGAAGGTTGTATCGCTGACGGAGTACTCCGCAAGGCACAATACGATAGCGTTCCAGATCAGGGATAGCGTTCCCTTGTTGCCTTGCACAGCTGACGGAAATTGTCTGAATGTTGATCCGATAACCACACTTAGTGATTAAAGGCAACTCGTGCGATTATGCGAGATATCTCACCATGCCAGTAAGTTGTTCTATACTCCATATGAGAATCGAAACAATACATTCCCCTTTTCATTCCGGGCCAGGATAAGAACATGCCATGATAAGAGATTGATGACCTCATATCACGTGAGTTTCAACCTTAATTTGAGACCTCACAGGACCCTAGTCCAAAAAGGGTTATATTGGCTCGGAGGTTTGGCGATTTTGAGACAGCTCTCAAGTTATTGCTTTTGACCTTACTTGCAACGCAGATCCGCCAATTCAGTATCTCTGGTTATCTTTGGCCATCTGGAGAGTTGTACATGATAGTTCCTGAAGGCTCAGCAACTCAAATATACCGTGGGAGAGGTTGACAGGCGGCCAAAACATCTACTTCACTCCTTGATGCAAACAAGATTGTCACGAGTCTCGAGCATGCGACTAATTGCAGACATCAAGACTTCTTTTGGGAAAGTAGACTGTTCGCACAATGAATATATCCCGTGGCTTTCAACTGTGAACCTGCCGGTTCGTCATAAAGATGACCACTCAAGGGGGCTCCCGAACTCGTACCAACGAACACCAGTGCGAAGGCCGTTTTATAGCCATAACATGCAACTCTGGCTGCACATGAGCGTCCTAATACCGAATGATATCTTCTTCGGGGATCAGCGGGACTTTATACTGCTAGTTCGGACTTCGTATGAGTCCATGTAACAGAATGTGATAATCATTGAAAACACCAGTATCATGATCAGTGATGATGCAGTAGGCCATATCGGTTTGCTAGCAGATAACCTCTGTTCTTTATTCATGCCCCTCCGCACGTTAGTGTTATGATGAAGATGTCTACAATCAAGAACGATTGGACATGGTCGATTCTGTAGCCACAAGGCTGCCTTGGTGCCTTGGGCATGTGCGACCCGGTCGGAATTGCACATCAA